TCCCACACAGACACATAAAGGGAAAAATACTGTTTGAGTACTAGTTATAGCATTAAATCTCAATGTACAGCACACTAAGGACAAAGATCCTACATGAGGAGTAAGTGCACAGTGACTCCTGTTGTTGACTTAACAAATTGACACTCTTGTTTATGGCATCAGTAATCACCCTAGGCTCTTGTCATGAGCTGCCAAGGCTATGGAAGCCCCCTGAGTTCCCTGACTCTGATAATTTTTAGACAAGGCCATGGTCAAAGTGGAAGTTCTCTCCTCCCTTCAGAGAAAGGTACCTCCTTCTTTGATGACCCGTTCTTTCCACTGGGATCTCACTTGCAGAGATCTTTCATTTAGTTTTTTTTTTCCCCCCAGAGTGTCTTGGCTTTCCATGCCTGAAATAGTCTCATGGGCTTTTCAGCCGGATCCACATGCCTTAAGGGCTGATTCTGAGACCAGAGTGCTGTTTAGGACATCTGCTATTCTATGGGTCTGCTGTGTATCTCACTTCCCATGTTGGATCATTCTCTCCCTTTTTGATTCTATCAGCTAGTATTTGCAGACACTATTGTTGTTTATGTGATCCCTTTGGTTCTTAGTCCTATCATTATGATCAGTTGTGAACAGAAATTGATCACTGGGACTAGTGAGATGGCATTGGTACATGCCACCTTGATGGGATTGAATTGGAATCCCCTGGTATGTTTCTAACTCTACCGTTTGAAGTAAGTCAGCTTGAGCATGTCCCGAATTGCACATCTCTTCCCTCTCTTATTCCCACTCTTATATTTAACAGTGATCACTTTTCAGTTAAGTTTCAGCACTTAGGAAGAATTGTGTATTGATTACAGTATTCAACCAAAAGTATTAAGTAGAACAAACAAACAAAAAAATACTAAGAGGGGTGTTTCATAGATACAATTTGAAGAAAGTAACTACCTTCCCTCTCTCACCCCTTAATGTCTTCTTCCTTCCTTTCCTTTATATTTTCCTTTAATTTTTGTAATAACATTCTTTAAATTTACTCTATAATCACAGGCTTAATGCACTACTAATCATAATGTTCAACAAATAAAAAGTAGAAAGACCATGCTTCCACAGGAGTATAGAAAAGGGCTATAAATAATAATCAAATCATAAGATATCAGTTTCATTGTTACACATTTTTTATATTGTTCATTAACTAACACATATCGGAAAAATATATTTTGGGGACAGGCCTATTTCATTAAGTATAATCTCCAATTGCATCCATCTTAATCTAAAAGTCAGGATTTCATTCTTTTTATGGTTGGGTAGTATTCCATCATGTATATATACCACAAAATGTCAGTCAAAAGACAGTTCTTTGGAAGCAAGTATTCTACCTGTGAAAGAAAAGGTATGGCAAAAAAAGTAACTGAGAGGCAAGACCAAACACAATAGAGATGAATTGGAATGGAAGGTATCACTGTGGAGTCATGAAATGTAATATGCACCTGTCTGTTTAAGTATATGCTTGCATGTGAATATAAGTGCATGTATATGTATGCATACATGCGCATGTTTCTTATCTCTGCCACTGCAGGACCCTAGAATTAAGGACAACCAAGTAATAACATATATAGCATCCAGATCTATATCTTTAATAGTATTTCCCACTGAAAAGAACCAGAAATCCTTGGAGAAATGTCTGATTGCAAAGGTGGGGGAGGATCAAGATGAGTCTGGAAGATAGGAGAGGTCTTTACATAGTTCTTAGAAAACAACAGTATTTGTTCCACTTTTTCATGGAGTTTCTGAAGTATACTTCATCATGCCAGAAAGAAAAGAATGGCTCTAATAATTGATGGTCAATGCTACAAGGACAGAAGAAACAGCTAGAGGCCTCCATGATAAAATCTGGATGATTTGAATGTCAAAAAAATTAAAGGCAATTATTAGTTTTAGACCATAAAAAGGTGGGAATCCGTGTGTCCTTCAAGATTATAGATATATAGGCCAGCGCCACGGCTCACTAGGCTAATCCTCCACCTTGTGGCGCTGGCACACTGGGTTCTAGTCCCAGTCGGGGTGCCGGATTCTGTCCCGGTTGCCCCTCTTCCAGGCCAGCTCTCTGCTGTGGCCAGGGAGTGCAGTGGAGGATGGCCCAAGTGCTTGGGCCCTGCACCCCATAGAGACCAGGAGAAGTACCTGGCTCCTGCCATTGGATCAGTGTGGTGCGCCGGCCGCAGCGCGCTGGCCGTGTCGGCCTTTGGAGGGTGAACCAATGGCAAAGGAAGACCTTTCTCTCTGTCTCTCTCTCTCACTGTCCACTCTGCCTGTCAAAAAAAAAAAAAAAAGAGTATAGATATATAAATAGAGAGAAACATGGATTCTTGCTAATATAATATGAAATTTTCTGAAATGAAAAGACACCTGGACACAAGTATTTTGGACCTGTGCTAATTTCATTAGTAAGAAAATTATTTACCCTTTTTAACCAAATTAATAGATATGAAAGAGCATGTAATATAGTGAAGTGAAATTGAAAATGAAATCCTAAATTTTCATTTAAATGACCCAGAATTGGGAAATATTTTTAAAGTGTTGACACACAAAAGACAAGTTGTTAAGTTATGTTTTGCTGTGCTGCCTATTTAAATTATAAGTAGAACCATAATGATATAATTGTATTTTCTCTTTTCCTTCTGCAATTATTAGCAAAATACAGACAATGGTGTACTAGCATAGTGAAAAATTTCCCAGGTTGAGATTTAGCTCCAGAATTCTCCTCTTTTTCTGTCATTATCCTAGTCATTTATACACTTTGACAAATTTCTTTGTAAAATGGAAAAAGTGATTTTGATTAACATAAGCTTTATTCTCCATTTTAAACTTAAGTGCTTCTAAAGTCTCATATTTTCCATTTGCGTTTTATATTATGTAATTATTTCTTATATATTATGTTACATATAGTTATAAAAATAGTGCATGCTACTAGAATTTCCGTGAACTGTAGGAGATGTAATTTTGTTCATCCTGAGAAAAGGAACTCTTAACCTAAACAATTTATTTTGTGTGCAGTGCAAGTGCCAGGGCCAGTAGAAAACCTGCAAGCTGTATCTACCTCACCTACCTCAATTCTTATTACCTGGGAACCCCCTGCCTATGCAAATGGTCCAGTCCAAGGATACAGATTGTTCTGCACTGAAGTGTCCACAGGCAAAGAACAGGTAGGTCATGGAGAGGGCCCCACTACTGCTAACTATTGGGTGGTTCCAGGACTAGAACATCAGAGACCTGCAAGCTCTCGATAAAGCTCAATGTTTAGCACATTCATTGGATAATGAATAAATTATAAAGTACTTGTCATTGGGCACTGTAAACAAGTGTATTGATTTCTGCTGGTGACAGATGCAGAAGGGCACTGAGGTGAAGTCAACAGAGAGGATGCCACTTTCTCCTTCAAATATGCAATGACATGAGCCCATGTGCGTGTAGGTAGCCGTGTTTGTGCTACTCACTGTTCACAGAAGGCATTTTCATTTTCCCCAGTTATATGGAGGGATGATTTTGAGGGATGATGTTAGCCATACTGCTTTTGTCTGTCTTATAGATTGGATATTATTTCTGTCTCCTGCCCACCATTAGGCTGTGACTTGTCAACGTTGATCATTTTCAGTAGAACTTAGTCTTGCAAGCCATGGCCTGGGAAAGCAGTGGAAGATGGCCCAGGTGCTTGTGCCCCTGCACCCAAACCTACCTTCCTTTGCCTTAAATGTCGCTTCTAATCCAAGGTTACCACAGACACTTGAAAAGAGGCAAATTAGTTTTTCATGAAAAGGAGGAGTAAACAAGTCTTTAGGGAGACATATGAAACTTGACACCTGCATTTTGTTACATGTATGTGATGAATGAGAGGTTGACTTACAGACTCTCAACCTCCTGTGGAGAAGATGCAGAGACAAACATAGTTATACAGGAAAGCTGCCCTCAGGTATGGGGTTGAAACCATGTACTAAGAAGGCTGCCAAGGTCAAGGGGTTCTTCCTGCTCCCACATGGACTGAATGTTCAGGAATTTTTATTTAAAAAATGTTTTGCCAGAAATAGTTCAGGTCCCTTCCCGTGTCAAATCATAAAATAAGCATTACAAGAGTTTCTCCTATGTAATCATGGCTTCTCCTCTTCCCACTCTTCTCCCTCCTCCTCCCTTGCTTGTCCCCACACTATGTTTAGCTTTTATTTTCCAACTTTCTATTCCATCCACTTTGCTGTATATTTTAGCTCTTTCATAATGCATTTTGCCAACCCATTTAAATAAATTCAAGAAAGCTGTCATCAAGATGCATGTCTGGGAATCATCTGTTTGGCTACGTGATGGGTCTTCTAGTGGGGGCTGGTTCTGACTTCCTTGGTGATTTTTACCTTCAGTGTTTCATAAACTGCAGCTGTGAAGTGCTGAGAACAGGCTCAGTTCACTTCACAGCATCTGGAAAATAAAAACTGTGACAAAATACTGGGCAGTTGCAAGAGCTGTGGGTATGCTTTGTCAAGTGAAAGGTGAAATCTCTGGTTCCTTGGTAAACTACTGCATTCAGGGTGCGAGAGCAAGTCTGTTGCTGCAGACATACAAGCTGCCTTCTGCAGCTCAGGGTTTACTGTGGCTGGAATCACCCACACCACCCCATATACTGGGTGCTATTAAACAAATTGGAACCGAATGACTGTAATAATAGTGCGGTGCTGTTTTAACAAGGAGCCTACAGAGTAGCTTGGGCTTTAGTGGGGGAGACCATGCCACAAGTTAGATTTTACAACTCATTCTAAGGCTAGAGTGTGGTTTTGTGAATGAGAATCTAATATCCATGCACTGATTGCACAGAATGACTGCCATTTCTGCTTTAATGTGTTTCCTTAATAGCAGTTTTTGGTGTTTTATGTCTCCAGAATATAGAGGTTGATGGACTCTCTTATAAACTGGAAGGCCTGAAGAAATTCACGGAGTATAGTCTTCGATTCCTAGCTTATAATCGCTATGGGCCAGGAGTATCTACTGATGATATAACAGTGGTTACGCTCTCTGATGGTAAGTTAAAAAACAGTGATACTTCTTGAATACAGTTGTTATCATAGAAAAATACAATTGCTTGTGTGTCATGAATGCCATATGTCAAGGCTTCCAGTCTACAATTTTGTGGAATATATTGTCGTAAGTTAGAAATTTGAGTAATATTTCCATACTATCTATTATAGTCCGATTTAAACTTTCTGTTTCTGTTTAAACACACACACACTCTGTGTCAGGGTGCACAAACAAATAATCCTCAAAGGGTGACTGTTGTCTCAGAGCTCAAATTAGTTTTGTGTACATGTCTATTTCTTTTAATGCTCTAATACAAACTCATCTCTTTATGGATGTGAACCAATTTATTATATTGTCATGTTTCTTTTCTTTCTTTTTCAAAGGACAAAAATGATTAATAGTGTAAATTATAAACAATCCCCCTACACATCTGCAGGTGTGAAAATATATCAAAAGAACCTAGGCCAAATGACCCAGCATTGAAAGTATTAACAATGAACATAACATTACATACATGTAGTTGTATCTTTCATAAGAAAAAAAAAAAGAGTAAGCATTTCCTTTTTAAATACCATAATGAGAGGAAGAAATCTTAATGGGAAGAATGCAATTGACAAAGTCGTGACAGGGGACACTAGAAATTGAAAAAAGAGATGGTGATGATAATTTGGGAAACAATTAAAAGGAAGAATAAGTGTAAGATAATGTAGGCGAGGAGGCCAAAGACATTAAGGCAGATACAGGAATGTAAAGGATACCTCTGTGAATCTTAAAAAGATGAGCTCACTCCTTTTAGGGTGGTTTCAATGTTGGTGTATCTAATTCTGTAAATCATTGATCATTCTCCGATTTATGATTCAGTTTTAATCTGCATGAATATTTCACCCAATGTCAATGAAATGAGTGAGGACAGTGTGGAGCATTCAGGAGTGATGCTCACTTGTAATTTCAACTTAAAAATGCATTGTGTATATAACACCAATTCAATGTCATATTTTAATGCAATTCTTATGCCTGCCCATCTGATTCTGTTATTTAAGACAGAACAGAGTATTTATTGGCAGAATAAATTACTTCACAACTTGTAATTATAAAAATAAAAGAAAAACAAATGAAAATGAGTCTTTTGCATAATTTATGTAGATTTCATTCACACTCTGAACTGTAATAATGTGGCCTTATTCTCCACATTGGTTTTAAATGTCATAAGTGAGAAAGATAGAGTATTATTCATTAATCTGAGAATTATCTTCTGGAAGCATTGCAGTGTTTAGGACTTACAAAATGCCTGTCACTGGAAAAAAGGGTTTCATGAAGCCAGCTCCAGTGTGAAATGAACACTGATGCCTTCTATTGGAAGCATTTGATTGGAGAAGGCAGGGACTCTATGATCCCCTGGAGTGGACAGAGTGACCCCGTCTACTCATCTTTAATTCATCTCTTTAATTTCTAACCAAAATCTGTGCTCTTGGCTTCTGTTTCCTTAGTATCCATTTCCCTTCTCTCTGCTTCAGTCTGATGTCTTCTCTCTGCTGATGCTGCTCATGTTGAGAGCACACATCCTTTAGATCTATTCCATCATGTATGATGTATGATAGTGACCTGCCTCCCCATTTTGTCCTGCAGCACTCTTCTGTTTTGTTTTGTTTGGGGGATGTTCTAACAGGTGGGTGTTTTGAAAATTAAATGAGCTAATACATGGGAACATGTAAAAGAACACATAGCATACATTTAAATGTGTAATAACTATCATCTATGCCAATGCCTCTTTCTCATTATGTCACATGCTTCTAAATATGAGACATAATATGATTTTCATTTGTTTTCCTCCTAACTCAGTAAGTATCCAATGAATTAATCGTGCAATTCAAGCAAAAATTGTACCTGCATTTACATGTAAAATCATTTATTTAGGACTTCCCATTTGTGTGACTAATTTAATATATCACTCTGCTCAAATGCATCTGTGTTATAGAAAACATCATATTTGTTATATGCTATAGAAATCCTTATCATAAAAGCTTATATTGAGGCAGAGAAAAATGTAGGAACAAAAGTAAGTGTAAATAATTTCTGAGTTAATTACCCCAATGATCTCTTTGTTCTGCTAAGATACCTATAAATATTTTTACCCAGATGAGCTGTCATCCCTAATTTAGCTCAGCTCTAAGTGTTTTTCTGGATAGAAGCAATTGTTCATTCACATTTCTCCACCTAGTGTACCACTGGGTTGCAATGGCTCACATCTTCAAACCAACAACAATGGGCAGCACAAGCATGTAACTTGTCTGGCTAGACATGTGTTTTTTAGTTTTTTTTTTTTAAACACTGTCTCACATCAGCAGCAGCTTTATTTTGAGTGAATTACTAGTTAGGCATGTCTGTGCTAGCTTGCCCAGTGTCCAAAATCAAAAGGACCCGATTTCATAATCAACATAACCATAGGAAAGTCCTTATTACTGTTATCACTAATATTTGCTGAGTACTGATAATGGCAAAGTTGTGATCTTAGCAATTTGCATTAATATTTTATCATCCAAATGCTCAAACTTTCACAGACAGTAAAATTAAGTTAGGAAGAAGTCATCCAAGCAAGTAAGTAGTAGAATCAGGCCAAATAAGCTAGGGAATAGGATTCATGGTGAAAACAATTTGTCTTATTCTGTGATAAATGTCCAATGTTAGGTCCTTAAAGTAAAATATGAATTAGTACATGTTTGCTAAAGGGAGGAATTCAAGTGCTTATAACTATGAAAATTCTTGATGTGGGGGTTTATCTGATCTTCAGAATGTCTTATCAGCATGTGCTTCAAATCAACATGTTCCACCTTACTGAGGGGCTTTTCCACATCCACCACTAGGTGACTTTCATGGGATTATTGCAAATGATACATTTCCTGAGGGATGTGCATTTGGTGCACAGTTAGGTCCCTACTTGGCATGCTCATATCCCATATCTGAATACCTGGGTTCAAGTTCCTCAGTGAGCTATTCCTCCTTCCTGATGACATGTTCCAGGGGAGGCAGCAAGTGACAGCCTAATGGTTGAGTCCCTGCCACCCTTGTAGGTGACCCAGATTGAGTTCCTGGTTCCCAGCTTCAGTTTAGCTCATACACAGCTGTTTTGGGCATTTGAGGGGCAAATCAGTGGATGGGAGATTTTTATGTATGCATCACTGTCTGTCTCTATTTCTGCTCTTCAAATAAATTAAATAATTTTTGAAATAAATTATATTTTAAAGAGAAAAGTATCCTTATAAAGCAATGAAACATCTTAGGAAGAGTAAATAAAAACCAGATAAACATGTATTATTCTCACTTTGTCAGGTTTCCAACTAATTATATATGTATATGTATTTTTTCCTCTTAATAATACAGAACCAGATATGAGAAGTAGGGAGTGGGGTGTAATATCTAACAATACAGTAGAATTTTTTTTTTTTATTTTCCTCCCTGGCATATCAAGAACAGTCAGGCCGGCGCAGCGGCTCACTAGGCTAATCCTCCACCTTGCGGCGCCGGCACACCGGGTTCTAGTCCCGGTCAGGGCGCCGGATTCTGTCCCAGTTGCCCCTCTTCCAGGCCAGCTCTCTGCTGTGGCCAGGGAAGTGCAGTGGAGGATGGCCCAAGTGCTTGGGCCCTGCACCCCATGGGAGACCAGGATAAGTACCTGGCTCCTGCCATCGGATTAGCGTGGTGCGCCGACCGCAGCGCACCGGCCGCAGCGGCCATTGGAGGGTGAACCAACAGCAAAAGGAAGACCTTTCTCTCTGTCTCTCTCTCTCTCACTGTCCACTCTGCCTGTCACGCTTCAATAACAAAAAAAAAAAAAAAAAAAGAACAGTCAAAGTGCTAGCAATGGGAAGAAAGAGATTTTATGTCCTTAGAGGAAAGTCTCTATTATGATAAGGACTTTTAGGAATTTATTATTTTGGCTTTAAATCCTTAATACTGAAAATAATACTGATGCCTGTAAAATATTGGTGATTGCAAAGAGAATATATACAAGAACTTCAAAAAGTTTGTGGAAAATAAAAAATGAAAGGATAAGTCTATTTTAACATGAAAACGTTTTGAAAGCCATACATAGTTTTTCATGACATGCATTTCCTGTGAACTTTTGAAAATATATCTCATATTTATTTTTTCTCAATGTATTTTAGGAAATGAGAAAATAATCACTAAAAATGTTAAGTTATGATGATATTTAAGGGTTGCATTTAAGCTAGCTCAGAACCTAGGACAAAGTACATTTTTAATCTAACATCTTTCCTGCAAACTTCAGTCACCCATCATAAATGTGCTTTCATTTTGATATTATTTAGTTGGTCAAATAAAGTGGTATAATAGTATTAGCAACTTATAACATGACATGTAAATATTACAGTGTCATGTGGACTATAATTTAGAAATATCCTCTATGCCTATGAATTGACTTATGGGCCAAGTATTAGACCAGCAGTTAAGAAACTGGTTAAGAGTCCCACATCACGTGTCAGAGTGCTTGGATTTAATTCTGGGCTCTGACACCTGAGTCTAGCTTCCTGCTACTCTAGACCTTTGGAGGTAGCAGTGATGACTCAAATGACTGGGCTCCTACTACCCATATGGGACACCTGGATTGTGTTCCTTATTCCTAGCTTTGACATTAGCTGTTGCCAGCATTTGGAGAGTAACCCAGCAAATGGGAGCTTTGTCTCTGTCTGGCACTCTCTCTGCCTCTCAAAAAAAAAATAATTTAAGAATTGATTTATCATTACTTAGCATTAATATGTTTCTGAAATTTGCCTCCAAAAGATGTCACATTTCAGAAGTTTCAGAAATTATATGATATACAGAATTTGTACCTCAATTTAAAATTCAGAATTGCAATTTATAACTCAGTAAGTATATTTTAGTTAACTAAAAAATAAAATATCTCAATTTGAAAAATAAAATTAGAAAACATAACAAAACTTGAGGCCCAAATCCTGAATATGGAGTTTTTATTATACCTCATAAACTTTCTACTAATTAACATATTCATTCAAACTATTTACTGAGTCTGTGCCATGGGCCTGATAACTTTTCTTGATACTGATAATGCAGCATCAAATCTAATAAAATCTTTGTCCCTATGGGGGTTATATCATGTATTTAATTTAAAAAATAATATAAACTTGTGACAACTAAATGCTAAAATACTTTCTACATTATGGGATATTTTTCAAAGAATACATAATAACTTAATTTTTGCTATTAATGAATTTGCTCATTCACTCATTAGTTCGGTAACTATTAATTGAATGTCAGTTTGGAAGATGTAAAGATTAATCAGATGTGGTTCATGCAGTCCTAGTGACTGCTTTTCAAAAGGTAAAATCAGAGTAAGGTATGAATCAATTCAAGGTAATGTAGACATATATCCTATATATCCTATTAGAAAATATAGGTTTTGTCCAAGAAAGAGAACCATGTCAAAAAATGGCCCTCAGATCCTTGAAAATGCCAAGAAAATTTCATTTCTATTAAATTCATCAATTTGTCATACGTGAGTAGAGACTACTCACTTTATAGATTAATGTGTTAAGAATTTATTGAATACTGTTTCTATTTCTTTTGTGGGAAAAGAAGTTTTAGTTTACTTATGACTCATCCCAGACATGTAGAATATTTCCTCACAGTGAGTGCTGTGTTTGCATTACTTACATGATAGAATTTTCATTTTTGATACAGTAATTATTCATTACAGGTATTAGAAAGGAACCTACATATGTCTTTCCTTCTTCCACAAAATAATAAGAAAAATAATATGCAGGAAAAAATAATGAAATATAGAGAAAATCTACAAAGAAAAAAATAACTGCTCTTTTGTTAATAGAATTGACTTGCTAAATGCTATTTTGTAACCTGCTTGCATCCATGACACACAAGTTTAATTATAGACAGCTAAGACCAAATTGGAGGTATTTTTTCTTTTTCCTTTTTAAGACATAATAAAGATTGCATTAGAGGGATTAAGCAACCTGGCTGACCATTAGAGTGACATATTTCATCATAAAACCGTGCCTATCTAGAAATGCACAATATCCTAAGTCTTTAACACCTCTCCGGGAAGCCTCCTGCATGTTTTTATTGGTTTCTCTGGGAAGGTTTTCACAAGAAAGCTATAATTAAATGGCAGGATTTGGTATTACAGCAGGTGCTCTTTTGCCTAAGTGTTTGGGGACTCCCTAGATGGATAACTAAATGGCCCACCAAGTGAGAAAAGATAAACAAATGCAGTTATTTTTCATCTCTAAGAAAATTTTGAAGTACCACCTGGGTTAAACTACCTAATTATCCTTATAAACTGTGAAAAAGGCACACTTTATCTTTTTAAAGTAGGTTTGGAGTTTCAAGACTGGTAGTAACCCTCACACCTGGTTTGATTTCTTTTAGTGCCAAGTGCCCCACCTCAGAACGTCTCGCTGGAAGTGGTGAATTCGAGGGTAAGTCAACCAAATGCTCCTGACTTCTGTGCCTTTCACTCATGTGTAACTTCTGCTCACCAACACACCATCTTCAGCGTAAGTTGGTTACTTTCATGTCAAGATATGTTGCAGAAGAACACAGAAGGTTGCGTTGGTCACATATCCTCATACACCAGAATGAGGAATTTGTTTGCTCGTAGTGTGTGTGGTTTTTTGAATGTTACAGTGGTGAAAGTCTCTTTTACTCATCTTCTCCAGTGTAGAACATCCTTCAGTACTGTCCAGTCAAAAGGGGTGGTATAAAGAAAGACTGTTTCTTCTCAGATTAGTTAGAATTGAATATTGCTTTGTCATTCTGAGTCTTCTCTTATAGACATCAGAGGTTCATTGGTTCATTCAAAAGGTCCAGTAAGATTATCTTCATGAAGCAGTGTTGCCCAGTCATTAATGTCTGCCTGGCTATGACTTTCAAAAGAGTTTAACTTAGACTAGGGGTAGCTGTGGATAAATAAGTAGGCTAATGTCAGAAATCTGTCTTCTAGAATCATGTCATTATTTCAGGTGTGCCTTAGTGTTGAAAATAAGTTGAAGCCCAACAGTAAAATGGAGCAAACAAGAGCTGGGCTGGTGTGACCCTGTCATTACCTCGTTGTGTGTACTATGGGCTCAGCTTACTTCTCAAGTGAAGCCATTAGCTGGAATGGTTTCTGAACTCTGGGAGGCTGCAGGGAAATTATGTATCAGAGAGAAAGTCATATTCTTGGTTTTAATCCTAGATTTCTCTTTTAATAACTGTGTGTGGTGTTGACAAAGTTTCTAAGGACATCAAACCTGTTTCTATATTCAAATAGTGTGAACTGTCCTAAATAGTTATTGCCTTCCTTAGCTTATCATGAGAGCATAGTTACATAACATGAAAATTCAATCTATCTTAGTGTCAATACTGACTACTTCATTCCATATACAATTCCTTGCCATATTTTGTAGCAATCTATAATGAAGTCATGTTTTGTGACTTTGATCAGATTTGCTTCTGTCAAAAAACTCATTTTTTGGAGCTAGTGAAATGTCTCTAAAATTATTTTCTTATATTTTGGGAACTAAATTCAATCAGAGCCAGTAAAACAAATGTAGAAATAGAATAGAGAAAATAACTGAACTTAGGCAGAAAAAAATGAGATAAATAAATAATAAAAACTATAATCAGAAAAATTCAACACTTTGATTTACAGCACCACTAAATGGATGTGCCATTTAAATTATGAATTTTTCAAGTCAAAGGCAGGTCAATTCTTATAATTATTATATGTTGCTAATGAATACAATCTGGAAATATACTGTAGTCTCTCTTGTTTATGACTCATCATTGTTAGAATCTTCACTCGGTTCCCGTCTTCCCTCTGGTATAGAAAATAGAAATAGATATATAGACTATTTTGTGTTTGTGTGTTCAGGTCATCTAAAATGTATCCCAGCAAAGGGTGAGTGTTTTCTTCTGAAACGTGAATAAGGCATTATTGAATGACTCTGAATAATGATGATTTTTAATATGGAATTACTTTCTTCTGAAAGGAGAATACTTAGATAGCAGTATTAGCATATATAAGTGATTTATATATCACACACACACACAGAGTCTTTACATTTCTATACTTGCAATACTTTACATTTCTATACTTCTATATTTGCAGCAAGCAAATACAAACATCGTGCTTCTATTCTCTTGTAGCTGATCTATGGAACATTGCACTCCTAGAAAATTTAACTTGTTTATTAACTTCCAGAATGAATACAGCAAACCCAGGCACTGGATACTGTTATTTTCTCTTCCATTCTCTCTCCCTCTGTTATCTTATTTCTCAGCTTCTAAGGAATTACTAATTATGTGTTTTCTTGGATTGCTATCAAGAGAAAGAAATTGGATGATCAAAACATCGTTTTCTTTCACTTTGAATATGTTTTTTTTCAGAAAAAGGCAAAATATTATTCTATTTTAATATTCTTTTGTTTGAAACAAAAGCAGAGTTCACAGATATATTAATACCCCCTTAATAGTACCATTTCCAGGAACAAGCTTCATTTAAAAAGAAACATGAGATGGGCCTTTGGCACAGTGATTGAAAAACTGGGACATCCGCAGCCCATCTCAAAGTGCCTAGGATTGAGTTGCAACTTTCATCCTCATTCCAACTTCCTGCTGTTGTGACAACTGGGAGGTAGCATTTATGATACCAATAGTTTGGTCCCTGCCATCTGTGTGGGAGATCAAGATTGAGTTCTAACCCCTGACTTGGACCTGGCTGGCCTTGGTCCAGCGACTGTGGGCACTGAGGAAGGAACCAGCAGATAACAGAGTCTCTCTCTCTCTCTCTCTCTCCCTCTCCCTCTCCCTCTCCCCCTCCCCCTCTCCCCCCTCCCTTCCTCCCTCCTTCCCTCCCTCTCAAACTCTCCATCTCCCCCTCTCCATCTCTCTTCCTTCCTTATATTTTTTTTAAACTTTTATTTAATGAATATAAATTTCCAAAGTACGATTTATGGATTACAATGGCTTCCCCCCCATACCGTCCCTCCCACCCACAACCCTCCCCTTTCCCACTCCCTCTCCCCTTCCATTCACATCAAGATTCATTTTCGATTATCTTAATATACAGAAGATCAGCTTAGTATACATTAAGTAAGGATTTCAACAGTTTGCTCCCACACAGAAACATAAAGTGAAAAATAATAGATGATTTTTTTAAATGATGATGAAATCAGAGCAGACCTATTGTCATGTTTAATCCCAGTGAGAGTCAAGTTGGGAGTTGATAATTTCTTTTCTTTTTTTTTTTTTTTTTTTACAGAGGATCAGTTTAGTATGCATTAAGTAAAGATTTCAACAGTTTGCAACCCCATAGAAACACAAAGTGAAATATATTGTTTGAATACTCGTTATAGCATTAAATCTCAATACACAGCACATTAAGGACAGAGATCCTACATGAGGAGTAAGTGCACAGTGACTCCTGTTGTTGACTTTACCAATTGGCACTCCTGTCTATGGCATCAGTAATCTCCCTATGCTCCAGTCATGAGTTTCCAAGGCTATGGAAGCCCTCTGAGTTCTCCGACTCTTATCTTGTTTAGACAAGGTCATAGTCAAAGTGGAGGTTCTCTCCTCCCTTCAGAGAAAGTACCTCCTTCTTTGAAGACCTGTTCTTTCCACTGGGATCTCACTCACAGAGATCTTTTGCCAGAGTGTCTTGGCTTTCCATGCCTGAAATACTCTCATGGGCTTTTCAGCCAGATCCGAATGCTTCCTTATATTTTAAAACTTAAAAAAGAAACATTGAGGTTGTAGAAGAATTGTGGCTTTGAGACTAACACAATTACGAGTTTCTATATCATTTATTTTACTTGGGAATTTTCCTTAAAATGGAAGGAACTGAGTCACATTTTAAAAATCTATTCTATCTCATATTTGCAACTATAGAATATAATTGATCATTTTATTGGCAGTCAGTGACGAGATTTAGTATCACAAATACTCCAACGGAAAGATGGCTAGAATTTCTCCTGTACATAGAACTGAGAAGTCATAAAGATTTAAAAAGACACTGTATAGGTTTACTCATGAAGGTTATGATCACCTGCAAGCTAATTGAGTCTATAAATCATGTTATTGGGTATACACATATAAAGGTCCTTATATAATTAAATCTAAAAAAAAAAAAAAAACATGGGAAATACTCTTAATATATCGTTCTTGAAAACCCAATACGGTGAATTACCTTCACAAAGCTGTAATCCCATAACAGATTAGATTCCCTGTCTGCAGCCTAACTGTGAATACAAATTTTGTTTTGAGTAACAGCTTACCCATAAATACTAGATTTCAGGTAATAGTGGGGCAGATTGAGATTATTATTTTTGTATTAAAATTTCTTAAAATTTAACATCTTTGTAGGAAAAAATAATAGTTTGCAATGTGGGCTTTATAATGTGACCTTTATAGGAAATACTTTTTATAAAGATAATTTTCTTAAGATTTTACATTAAAATTCAATCATTCTAACAAATAAATGTTGTGATTTAATTAGTTGAGTAGAACACAACACAGAGCACAAGCTTACAGAAGGCGAAGAGCCCACAACTGCTTCCCTATATTACCATCTAGCTGTTCTAAGAATAAGAACATTTAGACTACACTGAGATTGAAGGTGTGTGCATTCTTTTACTAGTTCTTTGAGACTCTGGAAAGTCACTGTGCCTGCTAGATTTATTTATTCAACATTAATTCTGAATCAATTACATATCATTCATTGTGCTGGGAATATGATCCTGACGTTGCCTCATGGTACTCACAGTTGAATTGGAATTTGTGAGAGAAAAATAAACTTTTCATCTAGTCACATGTAATCTCTTCTCATACATCAGAGCTGGCATTATCCTCTCATGTATAAAATGAAAGGACCAAAAAGAGTCCCTGAAATCTCTTGAACATCTGTGTCTGTACTCATATCTTCACTTATACCTTTTCTCAAGCATTTTATCTTGACAGAGTTAGAGAAAATGGCACAAGCACACCCAGTAGCCTGGAGTGGACTTAACTCACAAGTCCAGCTATTTGGTGACTGAGCACTGAAGAGTGACTTAATGGAATAAACTATTAACAACCTCTCCCTCCAAAAAAAAAAAGCCAATTGTAACTAAGGATGAGTGACATTTAAAAAGCTAAACAATTCAAAACGTTGGGTTACTCTCACTTTATTACCTGACATCCCCTTGTTGTTGAAATCCTTATCCTTGGATACCAACTGTGTCAGTGTGGCTGTCTTCTATTGCATCCCTAAACATGGTATCAAGTCAGTCACTTGCAAACCAGTGGTCTGATGCCGTGAAGGCAATAGTAAAAAAAAAATTCCTGGTATCTTCAGTACAAATAACCTGAAAATGAGTTCAGTATCCTACAATTCCTTTTGCCCAGAGACCACTAAACAGGAGAATAAAGGCAGTGATTTTCAACTCCGAAAAGCGCA